ACAAAGTTGAGGCGGACAGCGCTTTAAAGCCTCTAACAATGAACGTGACAGGAAAGACACATCATTGTTGGGAATCCCTGGACAAAATGGTGCTAGGTCAGGAGTAGTATACGGCTGCATAAGAATTTTCGGCACTATTCAACTATTACTACCCCAATTTTCCGAAACAGGCCGGATCTTGATCGACTTTTTTCTACGGGGGCAGATTTGGCTGAAAGTTGGGTTCTAGGGGTAATTCGACCTGCTGAACACGAATATCACATCCGCTCCTCCGAAACCGCCTGGCGCCCGCGCCACAGGCGCCTTCGCCAATACCCTCAGTGCTGAGGCTGAGCCTGACCTGAAGGAAATCACTCTTTCTCCCAGGCTCAGCCTTAGAAAAGCGCTAAATGGCGCTGGCGTCGAAAAATAAATGTCATATTCGTGATCAGGGCATCAAACAACCCCATTATGCAGGTTTTTATCGATTTTGATAAAAAAGGTGTGGCGCCAAATCAGCGCCTAATGGCGCCAAATGGCGTCAGGGCTGAAAACTAATTCGGTATTCGTGATCAGGACATCAAATAACCCTACTATGCAAATTTACACCGAATTTGGTGAGAAAGGTGGCGGCGCCAAACTGGCGCCAATTGGCGCCAATTTGGCGCCAGCGCTGAACGAGTGCTATATTCGTGATCAGGACACCGAATTACCTCTGTGAGCGAAGTTTCAGCAAAAAATTTTCTTGACTTTTTGGGGTAGTAATAGTTGAATAGTTGAATAGTGCCCAGTGTTTTTTGTTTTTGTTCCCTTACTCGACAAGGTCTAAACCATCATTACCTGCAACACCGTCATGACCCTTGCAAACGACAGGGCGTGTGGGGTGTGGGGTGACTCCCTCCTGCGGACCGCAGCCAGTACAACCCATCCAACTGTTGCGGACTCAGGATGGCACATGATGAGAATGCCACTCCAATCCAAGCCCTGTCACGCGTCTTATCGCTTGCTGGGCAGGGCACATCGTTGTTGCGGAATCCCCAACAGGGGGAGGGGTCGTGTTTGGCCACCAGGAGAGGAGAGGTCGTATTTGGGCTGAGAAGAATTTTATTTTGATAGTTGTTTCCTATTTTTGAGGGAGTGGATGGTTGACTTTTGGTGATTTTCCTGTTTCATGCGTACTATATGCCCCCGCTCGACGGCTCGATTCGATGAGGAAGGACAGAGGGCGGAGGGGGGGGGGGGGGGGGGTCGAGCGACTCGACGAAAATCCCAACCAGTGATGTGTCGTGCTCAGGCAGAGAACTAGGTGTCAGTTTAAGGCAGTTGGCACGATGGTTTCCCACTTAGCCTGATATGCCAATCAGGGCACGCCATCTTTGTGATCATCACAACAGGGGGGTCGTATTTGCCCGCGATGGAGGGGGGGGGGTCGTAAGCGCATGGCCCACTTCGAAGTGGAGAGAGCAGTGATACACGGCACAAGTGAAAAGAAGCTCGAAAGGGACGATGAAGACAATAAAGAGAACAAGCACTAGTGAACTAACTATTCCTACGCCAAGGAAGCGAAAAAATTTTCCCTGAAACTTTGTAATAGATGGTATCAGATGTCCTGATCACGAGTATGACATCATGTCCACACCTCAGTGTTTAGGCCGCTGCTGAGGCTGAAACTGGGGAAACGAATGATTTCTCTAAGGCCAGGCTCAGTCTCGACAAAGCGCTGATGACGTACGTCGACGCTGGCGCCGAGAATGAATGTCATATTTGAAAACAGGATGTCAAATAACCCCTGAACACAAGTTTTCATCGATTTTGCTGGTTGTAAAGGAAATCGCTCCGGGAAAACGAGGTTTTCTTTATCGCCCTAGGGTGTCGCTAGAATTCCTCTATAGAGGTCATTGTGCAAGTTCGTCAGTCTAGAATGTCAATTGTGTGAAAGAGTATAAGCTTCATGAAAATGTTGTTTCAGCTGGCCAGCAGTGGAACGGGGGGGAGCCAAGGCCCTTGGAACAGATTGCGTGGCATGCACGGCAAATTCCACGGCAGTCACGGCACTATGTAAACTGGCGCCGTGTAGCCAAGAAAACCACGTTCTAACGTGTCAAATCGATAAGCTAGTGAATAAGACCTGACGAGCGAGTGAATGGACTGGCTCGCCAGAGTCTATATCTTGGATTTTCGCTGTAGGGCTTAAAATTTCAGTTCTACAGATATGGGTATGTGGCACTTGCTGTCTCTGCCATAAAATTTTGATTCGAAACAAGTTGGGGAAGCCTATTGTTGCGTAATTGTCTGGAAATTCGGTTTTCCTCTGGAAGACAGTCAAAAGCCAGGGTCCGGTTTGCTATGAGTAGGTTGTGTAAGAGCAAACCTGAGCCAACACTCTAGCTTGAAGCTTCTTCATTTGCCACAAGAATTCGACATAGCTGTGTTGCTCTTGAAGGCATCGCCCGCCTTCATTTGATGTTCCTACGTCTTCCTTGGATATCGTAGCTTCGTGAGCAGGGCATGAGACGTCTATGATTTGCACCTCCAAAAATAGATCAGCGCAGGTGGCGCGGGGCCCTAAAAAAAATAAAGAAAACCATCCGCTCAGCAGAGGATGCCGCTCTGCCCCCCTGGGTGCCATGATTGCTTTGAACTAGCCTTCAAAACTGATCCCTCTTCCAAGAATAACGGGTAATGGAGCTCATATATTACGTGAGTCAGTAATGAAGAAAAAGGCGAAAAAATCGTGGAAAATTCCTATATAGAACCTCCCTCAATGCTGGCCAGGTGGGCGGGCGGCCGACTCTTCACTAACGAACGGTGCTATCCTCTCGCTTTTTTCAGATGCAAAACTAGCACATACTGCATCTTCATAGGGAGGTATGTGTTTCATGATATCCAGAAAGGGCGCAGGAACACTAAAAAACGTGAGCACTGCATGCAGAACAAAATGGTTAAACATTATGCGTCAGTTTTTCCCAAGAAATCATCGTGTGCGCATCCCTCCGTTGCATTTCATGTACATGGATGCACACACGACGCTTGGTAAACTCTGTTCCACAAACCGCTTACTAGACGCTGATCAGCGATGTTAGAATGAGCTAAAAAGTGACTGTTGTTGTTAGTGACGACACAATACAGCGAGGTGTTAGTTGCAATACAACGCTGTGTATGAGCTACAACTTCACCAAAAGAAAGTGATCGAAGAGACAGAAAAAGTGGCCCGATGTGAAGTATGTAGGTACTCGTCGCATTCATTGGCAGTGAATAACTGAATATATCGTGTTCCCTTAAACTATTCACCTTCACGTACGAGAATGAGTAAACCAGCGTTGGATTCTTGCCGCAGACAGTTGGTCAAAGTTAACACGAATCATCGAACTAGTTGAATAGCGTTCTCCTAACAGGTGTATCGCTGAAACGATATCCTCATTGACAATTTGTGCTTCTTTGGTGCCGTTGTAGAATGACCTAGCAATTATTGGGTGTCAGGATCGCCCGTGTTAGTATTGTAATTCACAATGTTGTAAGCTATCTGGAGGAGCCTATTGTCGTCAGTGTATTCGGGATCCTCCATCATATCTAGCTCTAAGCCCTCTATCAGACCACTACGAAGGCCCTCTACTCTCATCACCTGGGCTTGTAGATCAGCTGCAGAGTCTTCCACTTCTGCGAGCTGTTGAATGTGAAGTGGAACCTCTGCAGGATCCAAAATTTGCCTGCCCTTGCTGGCATCATCTCATCAACACGACGTAAGATGCTCCTTCGCCACTCGTGCTTCACAGGCGTTTTGATCACGACGGTCGACTGACGAGCCAAAAACTTTCTTTTGACCCGTATCACTCTCGCGACCGTTCTGCTACCGTTTCTCTCAGCGAGGCGCAGCGTGTTGAAATGGAGCGTCGACAGCATGATATAGAGCTTGTACGTCTCCAGCGGGCTGAAATAAATTTATAATCGAGCGAAACGGGAATAATAGCACATTGCTGACTTACTAGAAAACCTCCTTTCGACAGTAAAGGCGATCTAGGGCGTTCTTCGTCTCGCATATTGAGGTCCCCCATGTGACCCTACTTTCTCCAGATCTTCCTGGAACCCTGGCAGCTCGTGTGTTTGTGGCGCTCTCAGATGACGATCAAGGTGAAACATTATACGTCTTTAATTTCCCTAGGGAAGCGGTTCTGGACGCGGAGAGGTTAAGGCACCGTGAAGACATGAGGTCAAGCAACCGGTGTGGACATTCTAAAGCTGATCGACTTTGAAGAAAGTGAATAAACTTCTGTCAAGTAGAAAGTAATGACTACTTCTTCCCACTGATGCACGTCCCTAACATGCATCAGGCAGCCGTTGAACCGATGCTTGATGTCTTTCCCCGAGGAGCCCCGTTCAATACACTTCCAAAGGTGGGTCTTGACCTTCTCAATCCATCCACCAATAGCGCCACACTCTGAGCGGCGAGACTCCTGAAAAGACGTCGAATCCTCGTACTTATTGAAAATTCACTCAGAATTAGAAATCACCTTTCTCAACTCGTTTCCTAGCCATTTCACGAGATGCCATCCATCAAAATAATGCTCAATAGCGGTACCGTGTACACGCTCTACTTCATCCAGTACGCAACCAAAGCTCCGGCTTCTGTCTGTTGTGAGGGATGCTATTTCTAAGCCTTGCATGATGACAACCAGTGCAGGGCTCTCCTCAGTCCTTCTATCTCCATTCTCGGGCTATGGTTGTCTGTGTAAAGAGTAAATTACAATGAGAGTAGGTCAGTATCAACACTTTGAGAACCACTGACCGCACTGGGACCGATCTAACACTTCCGAGTGCATTATAAGTTTGGTGCACACTGGATCTACACAGAGCGAGCGCCTTGACAATCGACGACCTTCCTATCATTGTCCGCTATAACCGCCCCTGTCTGTCATACTGAACCCGTCTGACGCAATAATGTAAGAGCCAGAACCCACGTTTACTATACGTTCGGACATATAGTTTTATTTACTACTCCGTCTCATGTCACTTATGTATAGAATTCACGGATTTACCCTGTACTCTTCCCTAATTGTCGATAAGACAGTCTGCTGGTGCCACATGTATTCTCGTTCAATGCAAGGAGCAGCGACCGAGAAAATTTTGTAGAAGAAACTCTTTGAAAAAAGAGCAATATCAGCTTCTTCAGCCCACCGTTGCAGTTCCTATTAACATAGACATTTGAAAATTTCCCTGTAAACACCTCTGCGCAAATGATGTTTTCTAACATACCACATATCTGGTTCCCGTTGTTATGGCAGCAACAACAGCCTGGACATTCCCTCTGAATGACTTCTCTTTGGGATGTGGAACTGCCCTTTCCTGTCCTTCGAAGCGTTTTTCGAACGGGTAACAAGTCGTGCAGATGTAATCCACGACAGGAGCTGTTCCAACAGCCCTCAGACGCACACATCTTTTCGACTCTGATATTTTGGAGCCGCAAGATGGGCAAAAACGGAAAAGCTTCAGCAACTGGCTTCCCTTTATAAGGAAATGGCGATCGAGCAGAACAGGGTCTGTTTCGTCCAACTCCACAATATCCTGAGAGTCTATCGTTGAATCCGATGGATTTGTATACTGGGAAAGTGGATCGGTAGACTGAGACTGTTGCGTTTGAAACTCCCTCAGAGGTTCTACTTGTATTCAATTCCTCCGATCTTTGTGACAAAATGCGATCTTCGGTCTCCTCCACAGAAGCAAGTTCGACATCCTCGGCATGAGCTCGTGTACCTTCTAGCTCTTCTTGTATTTCATCGTCATCAATCTTAAAAACAATTTTTTTGAAGTGAGAAACCTTCACGTTGCTTCCGGAGATATATCAGTTCTTTGTACTATCCTACTATATATAATCCGCTAAATGTGTCTGCGTGTGTCTGTCTGTATTTATGTCAGAAAATCATAATACGTGTCCTCTGCGCGCTATCTTAACGAGGGCTGCACTATCAGCGTAGTAGGTTATAAACGTACCATGGATTCGTTTCTAAGGCCGGCTTTCCTCCTTCTGTGATGCGGGGGGGGGCGCTGCTGCTGCTTCTGCGCCTTGACGGAACAAGCGCTGCTTTTCAGTTCTTGGCTGATGCAGAAGATTCCTTTGAAGCAGGTGGTTGGTCAACGATCCGTAGCTTAGCACACGAAAAATCCGCATGGCCCGGCGAAGCCGGAATATGTCACAGAAGAAAGAGCGCCCGACGACAGCTGGGCGATCCGACTGGTATGATATATTGTCTCAACAGACGTTCACTTTTACATACATGCAGAGAACTCTTCCTTTTCCTGGACCCCGAAAACTTGCTCTGACTGACTTCCCTGAAATCACGATAGAAGCATGTATTCGTGTTAGTGGTGAAACTGGCCCGAACGGAAACTGTATTTGCATAGAAAACAAACATATCACTACTGATAACGTAGCTTACATGCAATCAGCAGCCGGTTCGGTCAGACTCTAAGCAACAAGAATCTCTTCAATGGCACGAGAAGGGACGGTGAATAGATCGCTCACAACAACTTTGCATATCGTGCTCACTGCATCACCAATATAGGTAGCCTGATATCAAATTTGCTCCAAATTTGCTCCTTACAAAAGTGACCTGTACGCCCTTTCTAGTTCTTTCACCGCTTCACTATAATGACGTCTACAGATGCGTTTGCGTAAATGCACGCATTCATTATAAACCGTGCGCATCCGACAAACTCAGTTCTTCCTTCTCCACCATGATCAAAAAAAAAACGGCACAACAAGAGTAGCAGTCGGTCTTTGCTTACGCGACGGAGGTCGCTCTCTTCTTGACACAGACCACAAAAACGGCAGACAGGCATGGTATCTGCCATATAAGTTAGTTAAGTTTCATACTGTCCGAAAAAAAAATGGTATCCGTGGTATATAGCGTGAAAACTGACTCAGACAAGCGTCTTGCCGAAAATAAATGGGTGTCTCTACGCACGCTAATAACTACACGCATCATTATAAAGATTTATTATTCCACAAAACACCAATTTGAAGGGACTTTCGCCCTGCATGTATTCGTTTTTGACCACATGCTACCGCTCAAGGGTCGGGATTTCCGCTGAACTCGACAGTATCATGATTATTCCCTTGTAGGAGTGATGTCATTGAAGGTAGACAAGTCGAAGTGAAATGCTCAGCAGAAATGCTTGAAGAAGTTCACACGGAATGCCTCCAACTTGCGGCTTGAAAGAATCTAGATTGTTCACATACATGCAACGATCTTAGTGTTCGAAAATGTCCTAACTTCATTATCCTTCTTGATCCGAGATATTTTTGTGTTGCCGCATCGTAACAGGCCTTCCGTTCTATGTTGGAGCTATGAGGAGATTGCTGATCGCTGTAACCTGGAAGAATAACTTTGGTTTTCGTGAAAAAAGAGGGCGTAAATTTTTGGACAGGAGTAATACTGAATTAGAAGGAGAGTGAAAGCACAGAGCAACTCAGCTTCCGTTTCCCACCACTCCTCGAACGGAATCCAGCAGAAGCAGGGTCGTCCCATATCCCTTCTTCCCTTTATCCGAAAGCTAACCCCTCACCCTCTCCCCCATTGGAAAAGGGAAGCTGATGCACCCAGTCAAATGTCCCACGTCCCAAGCTGAATGAGATCCTTATCTTTATTCAAGGAAACGTTTAGAACATTGTACTTTCGAGACATTTTAGGACTTTTCGGGCGTAGTTCGGCTTGAGAGGGGCATTTTACACTTCCGCTAGTTCCTTTTGTTATCTCCTGTTGGATTACACCACATCTTGGAGCGACCAGTATACTCCTGTCTGGTGTAAACAGAACCCCTGCCACTGTGAAGCTTTACAGATTTTACATATCTTCACAGGATGCATCGGCAGATATCGATGGGAGTCATCAAAATGCCCCCGCCAAACAGAACCGCGTCTTTTGTTTCTTACCAAAAGCCGCAGATGCAAAGCCAAGAAATACCATGGCCAAAGAAGGCAATTCCGCATCAAATAGGCGCGGAGGCCACTTCTATTGAATTTCAACAGGACTGAATGTTGCTACGATGTTGCTGGGTGAGGAAAGAAGCGGTAGCGGTGCACTCTTTGAATCATGTGTCTAAAAGCTCGCAAATATCCTAAGTCGAGAAGTTTGAGCAACTACTTAGTTTCCGGGCTCTATGCTCGCATGCCTAGTGCAGGTAGTCATAGAATCTGGGGTGGGGTGGAATCCGGAAACAAGGACATCAATGAGGAGTATGGAAGTGCACACAAAGAATTAAACGAAATCATGGACACAAATGTATAAGTACTACTCCAACAAGATTTCTCCAATGCAGATGCGGAAAATGCAGAAGTGCGGAAAGTGCAGAAGTGCGGAATCTGCAGAAAAGCAATAGATACGTATCGACTTGAAGAAATGCAGAAATGCCGAAACTGCAGACGTGCGGAAAGTGCAGAAATGACGAAAAGCATTACATACGTATCGATTTGAAGAAATGCAGAAATGCCGAAAGTGAAGAAGTGCGGAATGTGCAGAAGTGCGGAATCTGCAGAAAAGCAATAGATACGTATCGACTTGAAGAAATGCAGAAATGCCGAAACTGCAGACGTGCGGAAAGTGCAGAAATGACGAAAAGCATTACATACGTATCGATTTGAAGAAATGCAGAAATGCCGAAAGTGAAGAAGTGCGGAATGTGCAGAAGTGCGGAATCTGCAGAAAAGCAATAGATACGTATCGACTTGAAGAAATGCAGAAATGCCGAAACTGCAGACGTGCGGAAAGTGCAGAAATGACGAAAAGCATTACATACGTATCGATTTGAAGAAATGCAGAAATGCCGAAAGTGAAGAACAAAAAGAAAGTGCGGAACTGCGCAGCAAGTCAGAATCTCGGCAGAAAAGCTATATACTTATCGACTTGAAGAAATGCAGAAATGCCGAAACTGCAGACGTGCGGAAAGTACAGAAATGACGAAAAGCATTACATACGTATCGATTTGAAGAAATGCAGAAATACCGAAAAGTGAAGAAGTGCGGAATGAAGTTACGTTAAATACACGAAGGGTACCGTGTAATTGGCACACCGCGGGCCGATCACGCGTACCCCAAAATGGTGTTTGCTTTCGGATGGCATGAGTGCAACTGAGGTGTTATAGGTTGGTCATTACGTGTATTAAGGGGTTCTTGATCAAGATAGCTTTCAAGGAAACATTCCGTACTGCTTCTACTTTGGTAACTGTCGGTACGGCTCTTTTCACTTATCGGTGAAGAATTGAAGAAATAATGAATTGTTGGTTGACGAAACGAATTAAGCGCATTAGTTCGAAGATGTACAGGATTTCGGGAGTAGATCGAAAAATGACCAATGCTTCTCGTCTCTCTGCAATTTTTGGAGCAATTTATCCTTTCCTGCGCAGTTTTCGAAGTTGAAGTTGCGTCTTCGATTTGTATAAAAGTAGGTCTCTAGGCGTAGTTCGACTTCCTGAACATGAAGTCACATCCATTCAATCACCAGCGACCACTAGCTCCACCAACGTGGCCAGCGAACACTAGCGATCTTTGAAGTATAGATGGCGAACCCCAGCGCACAACAGGGTCCAAGAGTGGAGATTATGGCAGGAGGTTAGCACAGCTGGTTGAGCATCGTGAGATTGCGGTGCGTGCTACGGCACCTCAGAGCTGCCCTACACCTCACATCAAGCCAGCTTAATTCTAAGCTTTGGCAGTTGTACGGTGCGGTCGCACACGGCGCATTTTCATGATGTCTCCTCAACTATCCCTTTCACTACTCCTAGACGGCGGTGGACGCGGGCGTTCGCTACATCTTGATCCCTAGCCGCTGACGCTGCCTTTCGCTCGAAACGAAAGCGTTGGTGGCTTCCTTTTGGAGCGAGAAGCAAAGCAGCACCCTGAATGGGTGTCTACGGTAGTGATCCTTCTCTTCACTGGGGCCGCAAGGTAAAATCGCATCCAAACTGAAGACCACACAGGAAATCGAGACCTCGCAAGATGAGGAAAGCGCCGCAAGACTGTAGGTCTGTTCCAGGCTGATACCTCATAGTAGCGGAGGAGAATTCAAGTGCCTTCTCCAATCCAATATACAAAATGAATTGGAGTGAAAATCATGTATAACAACCGGAAGTGAGGTCATTGGTTCACAAGTATGCATTTCATCCGTTGCCTTGTTTTAACTATCCATGAAGACAAGTAGGATACCCTATGATGTCAGTGAAACGGCTGATCAGATACTTGTTAAAAACAATACTCTTCATTAGTGCGCACCTGCCGAGTGAAAATCGCACAACTTCGCCGTTTTCACAAGCAGAAGAAGCATGGAGTGGTTCCTTGGAAGCGATTGTAGCGTAGGATCCATTCAATATTTGAGGTACACTATGTTGGTCATTATTTGCCTACGTAATGACCAACATAGGTTGCCATAATGCGCTCCATGGGCGAATGAAAACAGTTCTTGGATTACGGTAATTGCCCGCGTTGTGCAATTACACGGCTACAGCTTTTTTTCCCGTGGGTATTTACTAAGCACTCGTGGCGGATGCGCAGTAAAGTGAGAATCTGCAGAAAAGCAATATATACTTATCGACTTGAAGAAATGCAGAAATGCCGAAACTGCAGACGTGCGGAAAGTGCAGAAATGACGAAAAGCATTACATACGTATCGATTTGAAGAAATGCAGAAATGCCGAAAGTGAAGAAGTGCGGAATGCGCAGAAGTGCAGAATCTGCAGAAAAGCAATATACTTATCGGAGTTGAAGAAATGCAGAAATGCCGAAACTGCAGACGTGCGGAAAGTACAGAAATGACGAAAAGCATTACATACGTATCGATTTGAAGAAATGCAGAAATACCGAAAGTGAAGAAGTGCGGAATGCGCAGAAGTGCAGAATCTGCAGAAAAGCAATATATACGTATCGACTTGAAGAAATGCAGAAATGCCGAAACTGCAGACGTGCGGAAAGTGCAGAAATGACGAAAAGCATTACATACGTATCGATTTGAAGAAATGCAGAAATACCGAAAGTGAAGAAGTGCGGAATGCGCAGAAGTGCAGAATCTGCAGAAAAGCAATAGATACTTATCGACTTGAAGAAATGCAGAAATGCCGAAAATGAAGAAGTGCGGAATCTGCAGAAATGCCGAAAGTGTGGAAAATCGATACGTATCTATTGCTTTTCTGCACATTCCGCACTTCTGCACTTTCCGCACTTCTGCATTTCTTCACGGACGCAAGCTATGAACGCGGCCTAAGCGAGCAAAAAAAACAAATGATAAATCTTACCGATTCATACAGCGTTTTCGGCACCTCGAAGCTGTCTGAGAACGATGATTATCACATTTTCCGGCGTTTTCGTCTCCTTCATCAACCTGTAACGAGAAATGCAAGATAAATAAATTGATACCAAATACAAAAATCACATATGCCGCTCCGGCACGTTCAATGTCAGATAGAAGAAACTTACAGTAGGGAGAGGATTAGGCAAAAAACACCAAATTGCACAACAGATTGTAATACATTACATGAAAATATGAAAAAATAAATAAATGGTAGTGGAAGAGTGACTATTGATTGACAGACGACGAGGCGGAAACAGACGCCAAATTTTCTTGCGACGGGGCACAGCCAGGCAACGCTTGCACAACAGCGGGAAATGTGAGAGTTTTTACGGCGGATGGATTGAGGAAGGGGAATATGGAATTGGCT